ACAAGCAGAACAGAGTTGTTGAGTTCCTCCCACCCCCTTGCATATTTTCAGCATCCCAGAGGAGCCTGTGAATCCCTGTGCACAGAAGTATCTGCTCCAGAGCACCTCAGGCCTGGAATGGAGCAGGATATCCAAAGGCAGGACTGTGTCCTTGCAAAGGAGAACAGCAGGCACAGTCCTGTTTCCCTGCTCTGAGAGCTCCCACAGAAAACCTGGTTACTGCTGCCACCTTTTGACTTCTGAATTACTTAGATATGTTATTTGCAAGAGACTGAACCATAAAACTACAGGATGGGTTGGGCTGGACAGGACCTTAAAGCTCATCTCATTCCACCTCTTGCCATGAACAGGGCACTAGATCAGGTTGCTCCACGTCCCATCCAACCTGGCCTTGAAGGGACAGGGTTGGCTGCTCCCAGGTTACCTTCCTCTCCGTGAACTTTCCCATCATAGTTATTAATAAGTTCTTCAATGAAGGTTTCATCTTCTTCCTTCACCTCGTCACCCATGTAAGGGATATTGCACAGAACTGTTTCATCCTCCACCTGAAGAGAGATCAGGCACAAATCAGAAAAGCAGCATTTGCTGATACCAGCGAGGCTGTGGCCGAGGCTGCTCCAGTCCCTCACACCTGCCAACAACACAGGGACCAGCAGAAGTTCAGATGTCTCATCCCTGACATGTCAGTGCTATCCCACTGTCACCCAGTCACAAAGGAAAGGACCTGTCTAAGAAATAAAATTCTTTGTTTAAAAGGACATAAAAATCCTAGGAAAAAACCCAAATAAAGTGAGACCCCCAAAAACATATTTACTCCTTGAACCCTGTGAAGCAACTCCTTGACCCTGCCAAAGAGTCATGTGTAAAGGCTACCTGGCTGACACAGCGTGGACACATGGTTGGCTTATGGGATTCCACAAAACAAGCATCTAAAACAACACTTTCCATCATCTGTCGAGCAGACATTGCCTGAAACAAGTGGGTTGAAGAACCACTTCCCAGTTGTGTAACAATCACACACCAACCACACACCTTGTGCCCCGCAGCCTCCCACATACCATGAAATTCTGCTGAAGAGGGGACCAGGAGTACATAATGGGAACTAGTGCCACCGTGTTCAGGGTCCTCATGTACAGTGTCTGGCTTGAAAATCCTGGGAAAATGCTCTCAACAGTGCACTGGAATACAAGTACAGAGAAGGGCAGTGAGGAACCACCCTGGGAGGCTGCCACAGCCTGAGAGAAAACAGAATTCAAAGACAAAGGACAAAGACATGGAAGCCCCACATCCACTCTGTGATTCCTGCACAGGAAAAAACCTTTGGAGTACTTTTTGCCCATTTCTGCATCCCAGAAGTGCAAGGCACAGCCTGACACTGACCTAGGACAGCAAAACCTCATCCCATATCCCCACAGCTCCCTGCAGAGCCCTGGTTCCAGTCCCCACTTGCTGCTGCTGTGCTCCTTTTCCACTGCACACCTGTTTCAGGAACGGGTGCCCACTGACTGGCTTCATCAACTGCACCGGCTGCACTCGCAGCTTCTTCCAGTCTTCATTCAGGATTTGAGTCTTTTCATGAACCTTTGCAAAGTTGGCCACAAAAAGAGCCTGAAAGGAGAGAAAGGAGCTCTCAAAATTTAAGAAATCCCGTTGAGAACACTAAAATTCTTCCTGAGATTCTCTTTTGAGCATCAAAACACAAACAAGGCTGAGCATTTCAGATTGGTGATACTCATTAGATGAAATCCTAATTAAACTCAGCATTGGTACAAAACTGCGCTGAGAACCCACCCAACAGCCAGGGAGCTTAGGGCAACTCCTGATCCCAGCTGACCCCCTCTGAAATCCTGCTGCCAAGAGAAAGTCATCTGAAACCCACAGCACTGAGAGGGTTCAGCAGGGAGATACTGTAAAAACCAAGTGGGAACAAGCCCTTTTGGGCTCATCCAACAGCCTTCTGTGTGCTAGAGCCATCGCCCGCATGGCCCGAGACCAAGGACAGGGCACAGGGAGAAGCAGCATCTGTTCCCACTGATCTAGCCTGCAAGTCAAGAACAGCTTATCAATCCACGGGCTGACATTCCCTGGCACTGCTTGGACTCTCTGAGCTGAAGGGAAGCGTTTCAGGGATGCCCCAACCCAGCCCTTGCCATGCCTGTACCTTTGCTCCCATGTTCGCCTGGAACCTCTTGAGCTGCCGCAGACGCATGTACTCGGACTTGACCTTCCTCTTCCAGTACATGATGCACTTCGATGTGGGAGGAGTGGCAATTTCCATTTTTCTATAACAGTACAGAAAGAATAAACGTCAAATAACGGAGAGCTCAATCCCGGAAACAAGTGATATTAGAAAAACATCCCTGCGGATTTTAAATGCATCATAGACTTGAACCAGGCAAAATAAGGGCCCGGTCTGTCTGCAGTGCTCCTCCCTGCGGAACACCCGCGGCCGAGGCGCACGAACAGGCCCGGGACAGCAGCGAGGGGCGG